ATTTTAGATGCCTGATGTTGCAGTCATTGGAGGCACTGGAAGGTAATTTTTTTTTTTTCCCCTCACTGAATGCTTGACTGAGGGTATAAAGCTGCACCTGCAACTACTGCTGTTCATGGCAAGAGTGCAAAAGTGAGAGTCCACTGAAGCAGGACTAAATCCACGCTTGCATCTGATCCTTTTAATGCCTCTTTCCAAATCAAAAACAGGCTTTCCTAGCATGACTGTTGAATGGCTTTTGAGACCAACCTGAACATTTTGAAACTGCTGAAGCTTTTGCCCAAGGTGAGTAAAGCAGTCAGCCTCAGGGCTCTGTAGCATTAAGCACCTGAGAAGCAATGGAGCAGTAGGCTGAGCAGCACCAAAGCATCTGTCATCCTCATACTGGAAACAGCTACTGTATATATTTGCAGTCTGGCAGGCACAGAGCTCATGAGATGATTTCTTGGTGTTCCCCAGCACAGTAATTTTTATCTCTCCAGCCATTCCTGTATCTGTGGCTGAGCAGGTACCCAGCTCAGTCAATCATACCTTAAAATCACCTTTCAAGTCTCTGGTACTGTTCTACCTCTCTCCTAAGCCACAAAACCTCAATGCCTCTTCCTGAATGTGCTTGTCTTTGCCTGACCGTTGCTTTCTCATCAACACAAAGCAGAACAAAGTCATCTGACCAACACACATGCAGTAAGTAACCCTGGAACAGCTGAAAAACAACTCGAAGGCACAGAAAACAGTTCTGCTCTGAGAAGAAAGCTGCCCTACTTATATTGCTTACTGAAGTTATATTGCTTCATAAAACACCCCCTGAGCCTGGGGGATATTTAAACTCTGGTGTCAGGCTTTTCCCATTTTCTGGCCCAGTTTTGGTGATTTATTCCATTATGTACTTTCACATGAAGCCTTCTGGCAAACACTGCATGGAAACCTCTGTCTAATGACCACTTTGGCTTCCTCCCTGGGTTGCTCTGACTTAATCTCAACTTTGTGCCTCCTTCAGTTCCTGTTTGCCTTCAGTGTCATCAGGCAATGAGCTCCACAGAGGAGGTTTTAGCACAATTCTGCTCAGCTGATGCCATTCAGTTGGATCTTGACAGCTTTACAGGTTTGCAAAAACTAACAGTCAGAGCTAACTCCAAGTGAAAGTCTGCCAAAGGCCACAGAAAAAAAAAAGTAGTTATTCACGTCTTATCCCCGAGAATAACCAAGTAACACTTAAACAAGACCAAAGCAGCACGTTCTGCAAAAACACCTTAACAGAAAATGGCAAAAAGGTTATATAAACCAAAGGAGCTTTACATTAGGACACAGACCCAAGAAAAGCACAATAAGCCATTGTTTGCTACAAATCATCTTGAAAAGTAGGTGCCAGGCACAGACACTAATAGCAAGGAGGTGCTCCGGCCTCATTCCCTGGTACAATACCCACAGTATCTCCAAGTCAAGAACATTTGCCTTCAGCCTATTCTTCTAGCCCAACCATTCAAAGAGTGATTTTCCAAAGTTATTTCAATAATTGTGTTTCTCCCTGGTAAGCTACAATGGGAAATTGAATTGAGAAGGCACTAGATGTAGTTCAGAAGAAATCCCTTAACCCTGAAATGTTGGGCTTGCAATAGCTTTGGTGACCTGGTGTGGAGCTAGTGACTGTACCCGAGTTACCAACAGATGAAGGGCAGCCCCCAGGTCCCTGTACCTCCCTGCCACCCACATGGGCACCAAAGTGACAGCTATTGTATCACCAGGTCCTGAGCTCTTCGGCCCAAAAAAAAAAAGTGGGCAAAAAAGGACTATCAGGCAGAATCACTTTCCTATGACTTCTTATATATGCAGTTCAAACTAGTCATACCTCTGCATCCTTTTCCTTCCCAAATGGCTTTAGAAGGCAGGGAGCTGCAGTGGTGTACCAGGGCTGTCCCAAACCCCAGGGCTGATTTCTGCCCACCAGTACAGCAGGTATTCTGTTGCATTAATTTATTAAGATATTTCATGAGTGGACATTTCTGCTGTCTGTGACCTTAAAGGGAGCTGAACATTCCCCTCTTGTGGATTACATCCTATCAAGGCATTCAACACAGAGTACAGGTTCAGTGGAGACAGGCTGGGATCACCTTTCTTGATAACAGCTGCTGCCTCTTCCATGGAACAGGCTGCACAGGCAGTAGGAACTAGGATAGAGGCACCTCTTGGCTAGGCAGCCAGTTTCCCTTTCTAGCCCACAACAATAAAGGGCTCTTCATGATAACAAACCACCACCCACATCCTAGACATTGCCCTATGGAGGAGGTGGACCATGCCCTTGAGGTGGATGTCTCCTTACATTGACTATCATGAATCTATGATCAGGTCATACAGAGATATTAATAGTTAGGTTAGACTAGTACTGACAAGGAGACTCTGAGGATTAAAGAAGTGACTGGGAGGTCCAAGTGGAGGCCAGGCTCTTATCCGAGCAGGGACAGCCCTGACACATGGCAAGAAAAGTTTCACCCACATCGTTTGGAAGAGCTAAACATCAATAAAAAAATACACATGCACTACTAAAAGTACTGTGTCAGAGAGGAGAAGGGGAAAAGGGATGAGACATGGCATTAAGACAGAGAAATGTTGCCAAGTGAGTTTATTGAACAAGTGTTTCAAGAGCTAAGGAAACAAACTGAAGGAAAGTTGCTGGGGAAGATCAGCCCGTGGGAAGTCATATGAAGGGAGCTTGTCTTCCTGGGCTGGACTCCAGCACAGACTTAGCACTCAGTCATACTCATGAGGTTGAGAGTCCTACTGCTTTCCCTGGTGAGAAAAGGAGAGAGAGACGATTAGACACAGAGCGTATTCGGTGCTGAAGCCCTTTTCCTCCCTTCACTGGCCCAAGTGCTGGCTTTGTGTTGACTGGAGATAAACCACAGTGCTCCCTTTTGTTATTATCATTACAGGAAAGATGAAAGGTTTCACACATTTGATACAATATAGTTGATCTGGTGAAGTACTTTCCACATGCTCCAGAGGAGCTTGTGGGATAGATTAGATGCTGGTGCAAACAGTTAAAAATATCTTTGAAGTTAAAAAACAGGAGGCCACACACAGATCACAGGAATGAGCCCTTCACGTTTTCCCTTAACATGCAAACACCCCATCTTCTTGCACAAGTTACGGTGCACCAGAAATGTCCAATATATGCCCATAAGCAGTTAATGAAAAGCATATTTTGAAAAGAGCCCTACACAGTAGGTACAGGAATTGATAACAACAGGTAGGGGTTTACTCTTGTACGTACACATAGGCATTGCAGAAAAGACATCTGTTGCCATATGTTTTGCCATCAGAGCCACAGTGGGGCATGTATTCCATGGTACATATAGGAGAGACTTCTTGGACGTCCTTACAATGCTCCTGCACATAAGAGAGAGACACGAGTCCCTATCTGAGAGCAAACCGTGGCCCCCCAGCATAAGGAATGACACTCCACTGAGACATGAAACCTTCTAACACCATAATAACCAACTCAAAGTTTCCTCCTGGTGGCAGATGTGATCTTGTACTATTTCTGCTCACTGCCACGTCTTTTCTTGCATCGTTACAGAGCAACGGGATGGGTATTGGCTGCTTTACGACCAGCATGAAATTCCCAAGGGATTTTCTCAGGCCTGCACATCACCATTTGTAACCCAGAGCAGAGGACAGTCCCCAAAAGTGTAACAGACACTGGACCTCACTCTTTGTTCCCACCCTTTCCCACTCACTTTTGTAATATCCGCTTCACAGCGTCCATGCTTCCTTTTGCCAAGAGTGGTCCGATGCTCCCTGGGGGGAGGAGAGACCGTCATTAGTTGCAGCCTTCCCCATTACAGCACCAGTGCAAGAACAAACCTCGCTCCCACGCAGTGCGCAAGAGATTTTCAGATAAACTGGCTTAACGTGCCTGCACAGCACTGACAGGAACATGCCCTCATGGGCCACGTACTTGTCTTTAGAATCCCCCTTTGTGGGGCTCTGGGGTCAAATGTGTCAAATACCAACCAGGGCAAGCAGGAAACTGTGGGTGGACAGAGAGGACCCATCCAGCACAGGGTTTCAGAGAGCCCTTGCACATTAGTCGGCACTCAGGGATCCAACCACCACCACTGTGCATTCCCCACAGAGAAGGATGAGTACTCACAGGTTGTGGGCACACAGCACACACTCGCTGGCGTAGGTGACGCCGTCGGTACCGCAGACGGGGTCGTAGATCATGGTGCAGGCCATCAGCTCTCTGCCATCCTTCAGCGTGGACGTTGGGTAACGGCTGCAGTCGAGCTGGGGAACAAAGACAGCGAGAGCTCCGGGGTGGGCCCCGCTCCGTGCGAGGGCACCCAGACAACCCCCTCTGCTTACACCTCTGCCTTTAACAGTCTGCCATAAGACAAATTATGGTTACGTATTAACCCATTCTTCATAGAAAACTGGCAATTTCCTTTCATAACCTTACACTGGAGAAGACTGAATCAAGGCTTGAAGGTAGACATTACTCATTCAGCTTTGCATCTATCATGATGCCCCTATACCTTTTAGAACCGACCAGGATATTACAAAATGCAGATCAAAGATGATTTGCAAATCAAAATGGTGTGATTTATGCACTTTCTGGAAAAGGGCCAACTGTGACCAAGGTGTTTTTCATTGCTCAAAAGAATGGAGGGGAGATGTGCTGACAGGCCTTTTGTTGCAACAGGATGACTCCGAGTGTTGAAATCTGTCAGCAGGAGTGACAGCAGTTGAAGTTGATTTACAGCAGTTGAAGAACTGGCCTAGAGTTTTAGCACTCCCAGTTTCTCCAGTGTGAGCTCTTCCTCCCTGATTTATGCATCTCGCCCAATCTGAGCACAGAGTGTACTTGGGAAACAAAGGAATGACATTTCATAGTTTGTTTGTATAGAAATGAAATATCTTACTCAGGATGTTGACTCTTTCAAACACATGCTAATGAGATGGCTTTGTTCTTCTATTCTCCAGTCAGTGTAAATAGTTTAGAGCTAGCCAAATATAGTAAATCTAGTATTTTTACAAGATTCATTGTTGGAATACATTAGATTGCATTGCATTTACAAAAAAACACACAAGGCAGAGGGGTTTGAATCTTCTGGTATGTTAGGTATCAACATTCAGAACAGGAAATTTTCTAATCTTTGCAGAGCATCCTTTTGTAAAAAGCAAGCATCCAGAAAGCACCAAGTACCCTGGGTCCTTTGCATCCCCTTCCCCTATTGCCAAAACAGACTGCTAAGTTCCTGAGGCCACTCTAATAGACTGCTGTGGGAAAGGGATTTCTTCTTGTAAAGCCTTAAATCAGTTATGCTACCCGCCTCGTAACTCATTCCTCACCCATCCTCTCCCTTCTTTGCCTGTGTGCAGGAGGTGCACGGTGTTCCTGCTGCCAGGAGGGTGATATTCATGCACAGAAGGAAGGACAGCACAAGCTGTGATGCCCGGTGGAGGCTACATCACCATAACCAACCAGCCTTTATTCAAGTTATGCAATCAGTGCCAGCTCAAACTCTTATTTTTCTTTAGGTTTCACTTACTTGGGGAGCTTCCTCTGTGCACCTCCCATCATGTTTCTTGGCAACGTTGGTTCCATATTCACTGGAAGAGAAAGCAGAGTTAAAAATGCTTGACAAGTAACTCTGTTGAGCTCTCGAGGGGTGACCTCCAGGGCTTACATGTTATGGGCACAGAGCGCACAGTCGTTGCTGTAGGTGACACCATCTGTCCCACAGATCTCACGCAGGATGAAGGGGCAGGCTGCAATGGCTTCGCCAGTTTTGGTATTGCTCAGGTATGTGCTGCAGTCAATCTGGGGAGATAGATAAAATAACAGCACTGTGTCAGCTGCTGGGAGATGAAGTGTGCCTCATCTGCAGCCTGCCCGCTCTGATCCTCCAGATTTTAAAGGCTTCTGCCAGAGGAAAATCAGAGTATTTTTAAGTTTAGTTTTCCATTAGAAATGATTCAAGTAATTTTAGTTTGGTTTAGTAGAGAATCAAATCATTTTGGTTGGAAAAGACCTTTAATGTCATTAGGTCAAATCATTAACCTAACAATACCAAGTCCACCACTAAACCATGTCCCTAAGCACCTCATCTACAGTATGATGCAGATGATTAGACAAGCATTTAACCTGAGGAATCTGATTTAAAGTGTTTGGCAGTAAGTCTAGATTGACATAGTTAACTAAATCCAAGATTGTTTCAGGTTTTTCAAAAGAACTGTTTCACGTTTTTCAAAAGAACTGTTTCACCAACTTCTGCTGCAAAAATATTTACAGTACATAAAAATCTAATAGTTTAAATATTTCAGGTTAAATAGGTAAACAGCTATTGGAAATCAGTCTACACTAGCTAAGCATCACTGACACTTCATTGTCATTTTGCATAGTTTCCCCAGTGCAGTGCTTCTTATTACCCCTATTTCCCACATGGTCCTAGAGCAAATTAAAGCAAAGACAGCATTTTAACGATGCGTCTTTGCTATAGAAAATATATTTCAGTCCCTCAGGATGCATGAAATTATTTTTGGTGCTTTAGAGCTGCTCTGCATAAGCAGAATAAATGTGTTGGGATATTATCGGCACATACTGTTACCATGCAGGATAATAAAGCTATTTCTGTATGCCTATCTGAGAGCAGATTTTTCCTGGCTGACCAGAGCACAAGGGTTTTTATAACCTGCATGTCTAGTGCAATGGAAATCCTAGCACTGAATAAATACACGGACATCTAACACAGACTTCTTTCTCTCTCCTACTGTGCTAAAAAGGGCTGCATGGTTCTTGGGCTGCCTTTGATCATCTCAGTTCAGAGATCTCCAGTACTGGGACATTTTGTTTCAGAAGTTCTGGCCTGTTCCCATTCCTCCTTGCCCTCATGTACAGCACACCAGCAGCAGCAGCTATGAACAGCAAAGGAGAACCACAGCACCAGCATGAACTCCGTGCATCAGGGTGGGTGCGCTGACCCCAACAAATGTCTTCCTGGAGAGAGTAGGAGAAAGCACTTATTTTATAGCAGGTTACACTTACAGGAGTACTTTCCTCCTTGCATCTTCCCTCATGGCTTTTCTTAACTTGAGTCCCATGTTCTCTGAAAGGGAGAGGTTGGTGTTAGCATGCTCACCGGTTAAGCCCTGTGACACCCAGAGTGCCACAGAAAGCAAACCAAACTCACAGCCAGTATGGAGATAAAGGAGACATCTGACTGCCTAGAGAACCAGCTTCTCCTCCTCGTTAGCATTCCAACCTAAGTGGTAAAAGACCTATCAGGTCTCCTCACTGTGTGTTATGCTGCAGCCCCATCCACTCTTTCCTCTGCCCAGATGCCACAGCCCCCAGTGTGCTCAGATTGAGAGCTGGTTCTCCAACAGCTCCCCGAGGAGCACAAAGAGAGCACCAGGGTACAAAATCGAGGTGACAGGGGCTTCAGGAGGGTGAAAGAGAAACATGAAGAGATATAGTTATATGTTGGAGCAAAAGAAAAGTCACCTGGAGCACTAACCACGGTTAGTGACTCCAAAAGAGCCCTCATACAGTACTTACAGGTTATGGGCACAGAGGCCACATTCGTTGTCATAAGTGTATCCATCTGTGCCACAGACTGGGAGCAGGATCCGTGGGCAGCGTAGCAGGGCTTTACCACCCTTAGTCATTTTGGATGGGTATTGACCACAGTCAACCTACAAAAAGCATGAGTGTCAAACCTGGGGAAGTTCTTATTATCCAAGAAAAACCTCAGCATAACCTCCTGCCATGTCTTTTATGTGGGGATGCCAAGACAACACCAGTGCTATGTTTCAGCTCTCTCAAAACCAGGCTGAGTCAGTTCTGCATGAATCCTCTCATGCACAGAGGAAACTGCACAGTACTGCATAGTTTCTGAATGCCAAACATTAGGGTAAGTACTTAAGTCAATCCAAAATAAAATATGCCAGAAAAGAAAAAAATATAAACATAGTCCCCTTCTCATTCTGCTGTATAAACAAAATACTGAAATAGTGAGGGAATTTAGACTTTGCTCACAAGGGTTTTGAAGACCATCCTCAAATAAAAGTCTAAGCCCAAACTGGCCAACTTCCACATTTGAGTTGGCATGTCCTCACCTCTTTCTCATGAGCTTTGGGACATCTCAGTTGATACACTCAATCCCAAAATTCAGGCGTACTCCATATACCAGAATATGCCCCCACCCCAAGTGCTGTTGTAGACAAGAATTCAAAATGAAAACCCTGCACCTAGTTCGCATGCAGCTCATCTGCCAGGGCTGTGCAGGCAAGGAGGGCCCAGAGAACACCTGCCTCAGATAGGCTTTGTAGGCATTCTCAACACAAGGGGCTGACAAGACCAAATAGACACACGGAGAAAGGCCAGGCTTCAGGCCAGCTCACTTTCACAGTAGATGTAGCCTCAGGGAATCTTCTGGTTGATGCAGCTAAGAAGATAAATATGTCTTATATTGAATACTTACCTCAGAAGTCTCCTGTTTGCATTTTCCGTCATGTTTTTTGCCAACATGGGTCCTGTGTTCTCTGGAAAAGGAAACAATAAGGTTGAGGGACTAAATGTTTAACCTTTTGGTTGCAGTCACATAAAAAAATGAAGCAAACCACAGCTTCAGACTCTAAGTGTTTATCAGAATAGCAACATTACTCAGTAAAAAGCTCATCACGTCTTCTCATAACACGCAATTTAGAACAATATTCTGAATTATTCCTTCCTCTGTTCAGTCACTGCCCAGCCCACAGACTAATCCAAGAAGCTGCCATCTGACTCTTCAAAGGTTCCCCCTCAGGAGTACAAAGAAGGAAACTCAAGATAAAGCCAAAACAAATCCAGTTTCTAAGAGACTTGAAGGAATACAAATAAGCAGAAATGCAGAAGGATGGTTCTCAGGACTGCAAAGCATCACTGGCTACTTCAGGCTGCCCTACGTATGGCACTTACCCATTGTGGGCACAGATCCCACATTCATTATCATACGTAACGCCATCTGTGCCGCACACCGGACTCAGGATCCTTGGACAGGATACTAACACTTTGCCATCTTCAGTCTTTGCTGTTGGGTACTCGTTGCAGTCAATCTGTCAAAACAAGGAAAATTAGCCCGGGTGGAGCCCTTGCTATGTGAGAAAATATGATGCAAAACCTTTTCATTCTGGTACACCAAAGCTAAATCTTCAATCAGAAATGAGCTTTTTGAATATGAGCCTAGTTCTCTAAGAGTCAAGAAAAAGGACTATCTTGGAGAATAAACCCTTCATGCAGAAGAACATGTACAAAATTTTATGCCTATTCTCATGAAAAAAAAAAAAAAAATGGTTTTGAATTTAGTGGGAAACATTTTTCACCAGCTGGAAATCTGACTAATACTGTTTTAGTTTGTGTTGGTTTTCCTCCCACTTTTCCAGCTCTGTGATTATTTATTACTTCAGATTGCCTGTAGTTAAGCACAGGCTTTGAAAGGATAGAGGGAAAAATGGTTATCTGTCTGGTGGAGAAGGGACTTTCTACATCCCAGAATTTTAGTGTTGAAAAATAGAAGCTTCCGTTCTTGAGGCACCAGACTGTTGGCCTCATAAAAATGTACAATAAACCATACTCTATAAATAGGTATGCTTTACAAGACTCTTACAAGTCTTGCTACATCTGTGAAAGCAACCAGCATGGGAATTTTGAATCCCTGTTGCGAAGGGTGGAAATGCTTGTGATCTCCAGAGAATCACAACCAGTACAGCATGTTGGCAAGTCAAATCTTGGGCCTCTTCCCTTCCTCTGGGCACAAAAGACAGCTTAGGGAAGTGAGCTCTGCAGCTTCTCATTTTACATCCACCTCCTTCATCAGTTCAGTGCAGTATGCATGGGGTGACCCTCTCTGAAGCAATGTGGGTGCAAAATTCACCCTCACTGTGCAGAAAACCAAAGCACGGACAAGGACCCTCATAAGCCTTGTCTTATGGCCCCTCTTACAGCTTCCTGGTGAAATCTGTGGGGTTCTCAGAATTCCACTGACAGCCCTAAGAGGTGGATTTTTGACTTCCATTGTACTTACAGTGGCAACGTGCTTGCATTCTCCATCATGCAGTTTGCTAACATTGGTTTGATGTTCTCTGAAAGAAAGAAATGTTTTGGTTAGGAAGCCTTAAGAATAACTTTTTCCATTACACTCTAGACACTGGTCCAAGAAAGCAAGGTCCCATCCACCTTGTGGGACACTAATGACTGCTTGACTTGTCTGAATGCACCCCACAGACAGTAGCAGCAACTGCATGGTATTCCCATATCACATGGTAAACAAGTGTTAGGAGTAATTAGGTGTTACAAGTAACACTTTGATCTGTTTGTGGATCCACTCTGGCTTGTCTTTTGGCTCTTTTCTGATTCCCCTCATGAGCATAGTCAGAAAATGGGAAAGAAAACTCAGCTTGGCTGAAGAATTACAAACAGCCAGCTCCAATGAGACCTACAGAGACACCACCTTTAAGAAAGGCTAGTGTTTTACAGAATTGCTTCTGAGAGCCTTAACTATTGTTAATTTTCCATAGAAGGATGTTCCATGCACAAGACTTACGCGTTATAGGCACAGATCCCACATTCGTTGTCGTAAGTGAAGCTATCTGAGCCACAGACTGGTTTCAGTATCCTTGGGCACGCTACTATGATGTGACCATCATCTGCCACAGCAGTCCGGTACCTACTGCAGTCGATCTGTAAAAATAGCAGGAGCAGAGGGGAAAAAAAAACCCACACATTTTTGTTATAACCATATACCAGTCCTGTGTAGTCTGCTTACTCTCCCTCAGACTTTGGGGACAAATCCAGCACCCAACTAATTCCACTATCCAAAATGAAAGCCCAAGTCAGTTCTGTGGAAATTCTTTCCTGCTTTTCCTGGTGAAAAAAAAAAAAAATATGGCATAGAAGAAAGGACTGATTTGGATTTTTTGAGGTCCTTCTTAGGATACTGCTAGAGCTATCCAAGTGGTGAGATCCACAGGTCAGCCAACACAGTGTTTTAATATCATTCCCCATTACAGAGGTTAGAAACTTAAATTAGAAAAGCACTGAGACATGGTACCAGATAGTCCATAAAAACCCTCTCAGCTTTAGTTATCAGATTTTAGTTCCCTTTGGGCTGTGTACACCAGCTGTAAACATTATGTTCTCCTTTTGTGTGGTGTTAGAACTGTTCCATTTTACAGCCAGCTGAAGTCTTCCATGACTTTGTCTTACCTGGATAGATTTTGGCTTGCACTCCCCATCATGTGCCTTCTTCACACTGGTTCCATGTTCACTACAAGAAAGCAAACCTGTGTCAGGGACTGCAGAAAAAAGCATCACCTCAAGGCTGGTGGTGTTGGCAGCCAGCTGCTAACTCATGTGCTCCTCTGCCCAGTCCACCTTTGGGGGATGAAGCTCCCACCCTTACTGTGAGGCCCTTGCCCTGTGGCTTCTGCGAGGTTTCCATCAATACTCACTGGTTGTGGAGGCAGATCCCACACTCATTGCTGTACGTGGTGCCGTCGGTGCCACAGACTGGTGCCAAGTTCCTTGGGCAAGCTACCAAGATTTTCCCATCCTTGGTGACACTACCAGCATATTGGCTGCAATCAACCTGCAAAAGCAGCATAGAATCAGCCCCAGTGTTGGTTCCCTCATGGAAAGAAACTCCCACGCAGGCTCCCACCACAGCAGCCACAACGCCTGCAGCTCCTGCTGGGAGGTAAATGAGAGGGATTATTTGGAATCCGCTCCGGCAGGCAGGAGGAGTCAATCTTCTCTACAGAAGTTTCTGATTATGCTTTCCTGTCAGGGGCCGGGGGAGGCCTGGCACGGAGGAAGGATTACTGGGGGTGAGGCAGTGCCTAACGAAGGCAGCTGGTAATTGGGTGCCTGTCTGAACACCAAAGCCCCTCAGCTCAAAATCTGATAATTTCTAATCATCTGGCAGTCTCTGGTGAGCTACAGCAGTCTTGTAACTGCATGGGAAGAACCTGCAGACAAATTCATCCTACAGATCCTGCTGTTTTCCTCTCCATGATACAGGTATAGAAAACCTATGCAAGGAGCACAGTTCTGTGGGTCTTACTGCAGAGAAAAAAAACTTAATCAGACTCACAGCCTTTCAATCACAGTGCTTTCAAGTATATCATCTTAAGACAATATTCCTCATGAAGAAGTAACCTACTGCCTTTGGATCGGAGTAACAAAATTATGTTTAAGAGTTGTTATAATAGGATTGTATAATTACTTCTTCCTTTTTTTGTTTTATTTAATGAACTGAAAAAATTGTTAAAAAAATAGGAGATCTTTTACTTTCTCATGAAATTGGCAATAGCCTTCATTCATGCATGGGAAAATATTATTTGAACAGCCAAGCTTTCATTAAATTTAATCCACTTACTCATCAGGTAATTACATACTGTTTCTACTTTACCAGAACCCTGGAATAGAGCAGAATAAATAGACCTGTAGCTCACCTCAGTTCCAAAGGCAATACCTGAAAGAAAAAAATGGAGACAAAAGAAAATTAAAAAAAGACAACAAATTATTGATATGCAGAGAAGATCTATGTATATCTTTTCATGAAACTTTAATTCAGGGACTGTTGACAACTAGTGTAATTGGTTTTGGAAGATATGTAGTTTTACTTTTTGTCAGCAAATGGTCATAGGTTGTATTAAAAGTTACTAAATAAAGTTTCATTGTGCTCTTGAGGGGAGAGAAAGCAGGGGACAGCACATGTATTAATCCATCCCTAAGATTTTATAGGGCAGCAGTACAGATACATTCAATTCGGTGCTCTTGGATTTTAACCTCCTCTAAGAGACTTTATGTTTGATTTTCAAAATTCTGGACATGTGTGTTTAAAAGGACTGTCAACTACTGGCATTGTCCATCGCCAAACACATCCTTCTCAGTTACTGTGAACAGCACAGTAAAACTACAGAGCAACCCTAAAAGATGAAGTTTGCATTTATATTGCTCACAAGGATAATGACACCATTTCTAATAGTTTTACTTTGCCCTTATACACAGTACTTCCATGTGCAAGCTCCTACCCTGCACTAGCACTGCTCCTTCAGAAATTTGCTCCTACAAACCAAGAGGATGAAAACAGTCACCTCTGTGAGGATTGTTGAAACCTCAGTCTTGAAAACTAATTTTTTGCTACAGTCTGTCAGGAAGAATATTTACGCATGGAATAAGGCTCTCCACCATGTTACAACACTCAAATACTTCTACTGAAATGAAAATTGAGTTCTGACTCAGCTAGATCGATCCTTGCAACATCCCAGGAAATACTCACCTAAGCAGCAGCAAAGAGCTAGAGCCGCCTTTACAAAAACCCCCGTAACCTTCATGGCAGACAGAGGTACCACTCCAGCACAGCCTGCTAGCTCTCTGTGTGGGAGAGGAAGATTGCAGGTAGAAGCAGGAATATATAGCACACCATGGTATCTAGTGGTCCCACCTTACTGGCAATGCTCCAAGTCTGTCATCAACATTCAAAGCCAAAAATCTATTTACCAAGCTCTTGATTTCTAAGTAATGATTGACACAGGCATGTATGCCAGGAAGTGGTTTTTTGTGTGGCTTTAGGGGAGCAGGGAGTGTGCCAGGACCCCTCTCCTCCCAGATGGATCTGCCCCATCCCTGGGCTGCCCTTTGCACTGTTGTGGCACGTTGCAGGCTCACATCTACCCTGCAACTGCCTGAACACAATTAAATCGTTCTCCTCCTCTATAGTTTTCAACTGAACTTCCAGATAATAGCCAGACCCCTCGTTATTTAAGCTCAGAGCATGATTTTGTACTCTTCAGTGCTGTATTTCATCCCAGTTTGAGCCCAGGCAATTTCAGGCAGAAGGTCACCCTGTGCTCTGCAGGAGAAATCCTGCTCTTCTCTGTTTTGAAAATCTCAGCAGTGCTCTGCTCCATGTGCCAACTTTTTCTGTACTACAGCAAGGAGCAGAAATATTGTTTGGTCCTAAAATCCATCTCTTTGGCTGTTCACTGATAACCCCTATGGTACCCTCTGCTCATCTTCTACTGCTTCCCCCAGGGTCAGTTCCCAACCCACCTCACCAAGCAGCAGGCCAAATGGTTTTGACATCTGCATAGACTAGATGTACTGTATTTCCTTTATTTAGTAAGTCAGCCAATTTTGCAAAGATTGATAATACTCCACACATTGTTTCCTTCCTGAAAATTCACAGTGTACATTACCCCCCCTACACTTTGTATCTTCAGTTTTCTTCAAATTTCTCCTGAAGGTTTGCCCACTATTAAGTTAACAGAACTTGGATTGGTCCTCAATACTTTTTTTGTGCTTTATTTAAGGCGATTTCTGCTAATTCTTTGGACTGATCTCAGTTCCAGTCTTCTCAATTGGGATCAGATATTCTCCAAGTTTCTCACTAACTTTTAATTTTTCAGATTCTGTACTTGTTCATAAAAATCCTTACTTGCAGATCTATTTTTGACATAACTTAAAGAGAGTGAGCCCAATTTTATTTTTCACTTGAATGGCAAATCCACAATAACATGATTTAGGGGATTACCTAATGTAAAATTATATTTGCTTTCCTATCCAGGAGGTCTGCTAATATTAGTAGTTTGCAATGTGCATCTGCAAAGCTAATGTCTCCCCACATGCCAGCATTTCTAGCTACGTTAGTCTCTAGTGACATTAGAGAGATCTCTGTTCACATATCTGTTCATTCCTTCCCCCCAAAATTCATCCCCAATGTCTCCCATCCTGTCCCTTATCTCACTTCAACCGAGTGTCAAGGACTCTAGACCTTTGGACCAACACAGGCCTCAGCTATGAGGACCTCTCTTCATCCTGATTACAACATCCATCTCTCAGGGCTTATTCCAGCCAAGACTATCATCAATTAATGCTTCCTGGCAGAAGAAAATGTATCTTGACAACCTAATTGTCAGAGTCCGTAAAAGCTGTCATGGTCAGGCAGATTCCTGCCAACGTCCACAGAGATGACACCTGAACCTTATCGGAAAGGAGGTATTATTTGCAAACCAAATCTGCAGTTAAAATAGATTGGCTCAACATGTTCCAACCAAGTTATTAAATTCAGGAAGTAGTTTGCAATAGGAGGCAGATTAAAGGGGCAGAACAGCAAACACCTGTCAAGGCTCTAGAGAAGGAACTGGGAAGCTTGAAAACATCACCACAGCTACAGCACAAGCCTCCTGTCCTCTGCTCTAGCTGAGGCACCTAGTGCTTACTGTGGGCTCCTACCCTGTCCACAAGGGAGATCCATACTGTGACCCTACAAGTGAGCCACCTGCTTCAGAGAACAATTCAGCAAAGCTTTTTCCACTAGCCATTTGTCCACTGGGACCAGAGCAGAACATGCAACACATCCCACCCAGGCTGGACAGAGTTGCAGAAGAGAGAGACCTTTGGTTGTCCCTTCTGTTTGTGTAAACCCCACGTGCAGTCACACTATGCTGATGTCTGTTTATCGTCCCTTTGCTGGGCGTGCCAGGAGAGGGAGGCTCTGCAAAGCCCACTTGGCCAAGCAGCTCTGGACACAGCACTTTGCCCCTTCTGCTGCCTTTCCAAGTTACCTCTAGTCCTAACTGCAAATCATCTGCCATTATTTCTGCAGACTTTCACTGACACTGGGAAAGAAAGGAAGCAACCCCTTCAAGTCCAGGAGACAGTAAAGCCAACTCAACAGCAGTTTTTCAGAAATAAATGCAGAAATTGTCCATGATTCCCATCCACAAAACAGTGTGTGGTTGTTACTCCATCTAACACTAAACTGTTTCTTTTGGGATGTCAAGGATCTGGATTTGTAGTTTGCAAGTAGTTGCATTTACATCTTACTATTTTCAGTGAGCAATCTGCTTGCAGTTGCCCATCCCTTCATGCAGGGGAAAACATCAGAAGGTCTTGTGCTGCAGTTCCAGTGGGAAGGCTGGGCAACAGGAGGACTCCTGCAGCAGAGTAGAGAAGGGAAATCCCAAGGCAATGGCCTGGACAAGAGTTCCCTGTAGTAGGGAGACTTGCAGAAAGACAGATGTGCTATCAGGAGCCCTATAGAGGGGAAATTCACCAGTCCTGAGAGTTAAAAAAAAACAACTGTCCTGTAGAGCAGAAATTGATAGTCAAGGTAAATAATGCTGAAACATCAGCCAGAAAAGAGACCTTGTGAGCAGACCCAGAGGGGCTTCACCACACAAATGGCATCAGGCTCTCCATGTCAAACCTCAGTTCTTGAAGAAGCAGATGTCCCTAAAGTGCAGGATTTCAGGCTCTGTCTACTGCAGCAGACTGCAAGAGGTCCCCTTGCTGGAGCACACGATGCTGCCATACTCCATGGTGGCTGCAAAAGCAGCAGGGTGGTGGGCAGAGCTACTAATGGATCCAAATGGATAGCTTGCAGGTAACTGAGATACACCACGGTGAGTTCGAGGTCTGCTGAGGCACCTGACAGAGTCAACAGTCCTCACTATATACCAATAGCAGCGTCCTGAACAACAGTGTGAGTACCCAACACCTTCTGGGGGGGAAAAACCAAGAGACTCAAGGTCCCTGCAGAGAGAAGTTTAGTTCAAAACCCAAATGTGTTGATAAGTCTGGAGACCATAGCTGTTAATTTATAACACTAGTTCTGCAAAACCTCAGCAACTGCTGTGAACCACACGGGGTCTGTGGACATTGGCAAGAGGCACTCTTAATCAAGTGCCGTTTACAGCGAGCTGAAGAATCCCCAGAGTGCTGGTACCTTTCCAGTTTCATAGAGGACTGTTTTGGCCTCATTACTGTGTTAGAGGGCAACACAAAGGGTAACCCAAAGCAAATGTAAAAGAAAGGGTAATAAATCCCCAGTACCTCTTGAGCCTTTGCCTCCTCCCGAGGAGCTTCAGGGAAAGAACGCAGAGCATCAGTCACGGGGAGTCCTGCCACATGCAGGGCTGCTCAGGACAGACATCATCGGGGAGCCCTCACAGTGACCTGCAAAAAGGGGGGCTGAAAGCTCGAAAGGACTGGCAGGACAGGCTGCAGAGAGCAGGAAGGGGCCAGTATTGCTACTCTGGTAGGGCTGGAATCAACAGCGGAGGCGCCTTTAGCAATTCACTGTCCTGCACCCTCCTGACAGACAGGTTTGGAAGGTGGTTAACAAGCCCTTATTGCCAATTGCAATTTTTTTGGATGATAATTTCTGCTGGCAGCAGGAAAAATTCAGAAGGTGCTCATATACTGACAGAAGAGGCTACTGGGGCACTGCCTTCATTAGTTCATCACTTTTGGAGAACAGTTAATGCAGGTTTTATGGGTGATTAGTCCAAAAGCTAAATACTTGAAATTGCTAGAGATCATAATAGCTTTCAAGTGCACTCTTTTTCATTTGCAAGAATTTATTTTAGGCCACAAATTGTGCACTGCTTTTATGAAATCCCACAAATGTCTCTGCACATGATTTTAGCTGGAATCAGTGAGCAGACATCATCAGAGAACATTTTGACTGTCTGATAGTCATCACTCTCAGGCTGGACAAAAAGTTTAAGAATTTACTTGTTTCATCACAGCTGTAAAGGCAGACAAACTTTGCATTGCCCCCAAACAGCTAACCAGTACCAAACTGGTGACTCTTACCCTGCATGACTGTACTTGGTGAGAGGATTTTCCATGTAGAAATAGACAGTAATAATTTATTTCTAATCATAACTTTTGATCAAATTAAAAGTCAGCATACAAAATATTATCTACATATGTCAGAGTCTGCTGATAAAATCCAATTATTATCAGCAGAAATAAAATGTGATGCCTGCATAAGCATTTTAAGAGTTCAAAATCGACCCTCATTAAATGCAGTAAAAAAACCTGATAACTTAATTGAAAAAAGTCTGTCTTCAGTGGGAGTGAAATTAATTGGTATTAGGTAAAATGCTGCCAAAATCTGAAAGAAAGTCACTCCAGCCTTATCTGCAACAAAGTGTTTACAGATCAGGTCACAGCTAAAATGGACTCAAACATTGTGTGCATTCACTCAAGGTCTCCTGGAAATGTCCTGCAATAAAGTTCATACAAATAAAGAACATATTTGCTTTAAGTAACAGCAAAAGTACAAGAAAGTACGTGCAAAACGCCATCAGGTTTCTGTTAATCCACCATCACAGTCTCCTGGTTTGCAAATCCCACCCCATTCTCAGATGTGTTGTCCCCCAACAAGGTAAGGGAATCCTTAGCTCAAAGACCTGGCTTCATTTTCAAATAGTTTCAGACTACAAATGTCTGCAAATCAGTTACATCTCAAAATAATTATACTTTTCCTTAAATAGCTTAAGCCATTGAATACCACAGAACTTCTTACTTCTCCATCTCCCCCAACACGAGGGCTCTGAAGGAAGAACCTCTCCTGCAGGAGATGACTCCTGAGGTGAGTACTGGCTGAGCTTTTGTGCG